CAAAATCAAAACGTTAGTCCTACAACTTGAAAAATAGAAACAGAGCAGCAAAAGAAGCCCACAGCCACCAGGAGAATGGAAATAATAAAGATTAGAGCAGAAATAAATGAAATAGAGACCAGAAAAACAAAAGAAAGAATCAACAAGACCAGAAGTCGGTTCTTTGGAAAAATAAATAAAATTAACAAACCCCTAGTCAAACTGACAAAAGAAAAACAGGAGAGGAAGCAAATAACCCAAATAAAAAAATGACATGAGGGACATTACAACAGGCCCAACTGAAATAAAAAGGATCATAACAGAATACTATGAAAAACTGTACTCCAACAAATTTGAGAACCTAGAGGAAATGAACAAATTTCTAGAAACACACTACCTACCTAAACTAATACAAACTGAGGTAAGAAATATGAACAGACCCATAATAAAAGAAGAGACTGAAGAGGTAATAAAACAACTCCCAGCAAAAAAAAAAAAAAAAAAAAAAAGCCCTGGCCCAGATGGCTTCACTGGAGAATTCTACCAAATATTCAGAGAAGAGCTCATATCAGTGCTACTCAACTATTCAAGAGCAAAGAAAAGGAAGAAATACTCCTGAATTCATCCAATGAAGCCAGTGTAATCCTGATACCAAAGCCAGGCAAAGACATCACACAAAAAAGAAAATTACAGACCAGTATCTCTCAAGAATATAGATGCAAAAATTCTCAACAAAGTTCTAACCAACAGAATTCAGCATCATATCAAAAAAATAATACACCACGACCAAGTGGGATTCATACCAGGTATGCGAGGGTGGTTCAACATCAGAAAATCAATGTAATCTACCACATAAATAAAGTAAAAGAATCATATGATCATCTCACTTGATGTAGAAAAGGCATTCAAAAAAGCCCAACACCCATTCCTGATAAAAAAAACTCTCAATAAAATAGGAATAGAAGGAAAATTCCTCAACATAGTAAAGGGCATCTATACAAAACCAACAGCCAACAACATTCTCAAGGGAGAGAGGTTGAAAGCATTCCCTGAGAATGGGTACAAGACAAGGATGCCCTTTATCACCACTTCTATTTAATACTGTCATGGAAGTCCCAGCTAAAGCAATAAAGTAAGAAAAAGAAATAAGGGCATCCAAAAAAAGTAAAACTATCCCTATTCACAGATGATATGATCCTATACATAGCGAACCTGAAAGATTCCACCAAGAAAACTACTGGAATAGAAAGATTCAGAAGAGTAGCAGGATATAAGATCAACATACAAAAATCAGTTGGATTTTGTCTTAGTTGTCTAGTGCCCCTATAACAGAGATACCACAAGTGGATGGCTTCAACAAACAAGTTTATTCTCTTACAGTCTAGTGGGCTAGAAGTTCAAATTCAGGGTGTCAGCTCCAGGGGAAGCCTTTCTCTCTCTGTCAGCTCTGGACGAAGGTCCTTCTTTTCAATCCTCCCCTGGACTAGGAGCTTCTCAGCGCAGGGACCCTGGGGGTCCAAGGACACACTAGTCTCCTGGCTCTTGTTTCTTGGTGGTATGAGGTCCCCATGTCTCTCTGCTTGCTACTCTCTTTTATATCTCAAAAGGGATTGGCTTCAGACACAATCTAATCTTGTAGACTGAATCCTGCCTCATTAACATAACTGCCACTAATCTCATCTCATTAACATTATAGAGATAGGATTTATAACACATAGGAAAATCACATCAGATGACAAAATGGTGGACAATCACACAGAATACTTAGAATCATGGCCTAACCAAACTCATACACATATTTTTAGGGGGCACAATTCAACTCATGACAGACTCCTATACACCAACAACAAAAAGTTTGAAAAGGAAATCGGGAAAAAACACCATTAATAACAGCCCCTAAAAAGAGAAAATACTTAGGAATAAATCTAACCAGGGACGGAGAGACCTATACAAAGAAAATATACAAAACAGTATTGCAAGATACCAAAAGAGACTTACATAAATGGAAAAACATACCATGCTCATGGATACGAAGACACAACACTGTGAAAATATCAATCCTACCCAAACTCATCTACAGATATAAAGCATTCCAGATCCAAATACCAACAGCATTCTTTAATGAGACATAAAAACTAATCGCCAACTTTATATGGAAAGGAAAGAGGCCCCAAATAGGCAAAACATTATTGAGCAGAATAGGAGGCCTCATACTACCTGATCTCAGAACCTACTATACAGCCACGGTAGTCAAAACAGCCTGGTACTGGTCCAACAGCAGACACATAGACCAATGGAACAGAATCAAGAACCCTGATGTAAATCCATCCACCTATGGTTAGCTGATCTTTGACAAAGGACCAAGTCCTTTAAATGGGAAAAAGAAAGTCTTTTTTATAGATGGTGCTGGCAAACCTGGATGTCCTTCTGTAAAAAAAATGAAAACAGGACCCATACCTCACACCATACATAAATACTAACTCAAAATGGATCAAAGACTTAAATATAAAACCTAACACCTGAAACGATAAAGATCATGAAAGAAAAGATAGGGACAATGCTAGGGGCCCTAATACATGGCACGAACAGAATACAAACCATAACTAACAACGTACAAACAGAAGAAGATAAGCTAGATGACTGGGAGCTCCTAAAAATTAAACACTTATGCTCATCAAAAGACTTCACCAAAAGAGTAAAAAGAGAACCTACAGACTGGGAAAAAATTTATGGCTATGACATATCCAACAAGGGTCTAATCTCCAAAATCTACAGAATACTTTAGCACCCAACAACAAAAAGACAAATAATCCAATGACACAATGGTCAAAGGACATGAACAGCCATCTCGCCAATGATGACATTCAGTTGGCTAACAGACACATGAGGAATGCTCATTAGCCATTAGATAAATGCAAATCAAAACTACAGTGAGATATCATCTCCTCCCGACGTTACTGGCAAGAATCAAAAAAAGAGAAAATAACAAATGCTGGAGAGGTTGCTGGGAGACTGGAACTCTTATGCACTGCTGGTGGGAGTGTAAAATGGTATACAACTACTATGGAAAATGATATGGTGCCTCCTTAAAAACCCAGAAATACTGTACGATCCAGCAATCCCACTCCTAGGAATATATCCTAGAGAAATAAGAGCCATGACATGAACAGACATATGCACACCCATGTTCACTGCAGCATTCTCCACAATAGCAAAAGATGGAAACAACCTAAGTGTCCATCAACAGATGAATGAATGAACAAACTATGGTACATTCACACAATGGGATACTACGCAATGTAAAAAAACAATGATGAATCTGCAAAACATCTCACAACATGGATGAATCTAGAGGGCATTATGCTGAGTGAAATAAGTCAATTACAAAAGGACAAATACTGTATGAGAGCACTATTATAAAAAACCAAGAAAAGGTTTACACACAGAACAAACTACCTTTGATGGTTAGGAGGGAGGGGAGGGATGGGAATAGAAATCACTAACTAGATAGTAGACAAATGGTAACTTTGGTGAAGGGAAACAACACACAATATAGAGGAAGTCAGTACCACCTGACCAAGGCAAAGTCATAGAAGCTTCCTAGACACATTCAAATACCTTGAAGGACCAGTAACTGAGGCTGAGGGCTAGGGATCATTGCCTCAGTGGACATCTAGGTCAATTGGCATAACATAGTTTGTAAAGAAAATATTCTACATCCTACTTTGTTGAGTAGCATCTGAGTTCTTAAAAGCTTGTGAGCGGCCATCTAAGATACATCTATTGGTCCCATCCTTTCCAGAGCAAAGGAGAAAGAAGAAAATCACACACAAGGAAGATATTAGTCCAAAGGACTAGTGGACCTCATGAACCACAGCCTCCACCAGCCTGAGCCCAGAAGAACTAGATGGTGTCTGGCTACCACCAGTGACCACTCTGACACGGATCACAATAGAGGGTTCTGGACAGAGCAGGAGAAAAATTAGAACAAAATTCAAATCCACCCCCTGCCTGCACAGAAAAGAAAGACTAGACTTACTGATCTAAAAGAGACTGGAGGAACCCCTGAGACGATAGCCCTCAGACACCCTTCTAACTCAGAACTGAAGCCACTCTCAAATTCACCTTTTAGCCAAAGATTAGGCAAGCCTATAAAACAAACAATAACACACATAAGGAATGTGCCGTTTAGATCAATCAAGTATATGTGACCAAATGGGCAACACCTGCCCAAAAGCAAAGAGGAGAAGGCAGGAAGGGACCGGAAAATGGAGGAATGGACATGGGGAACCTGGGTGGAAAGGGAAAGGGGGAGGGTGCTGACGCCTTGCGAGGATTGCAACCAACGTCACAAAACAATTTGTGTATACATTTTTTAATGAGAAACTAATTTGTGCTGTAGACTTTCACTTAAAGCACAAAAAAATTAAAGAAATGGTGAAAAGGGCATAAGCTTTGGAAATACGGAAGTACCAGGGTCAATAGCTAGGAGAGTTGATGGAGGATGTGGAAGAATGTGACAAAGGACAACTTTAAAAGACTTTTAGTGCTATCTGTGTTAAAAGATACGGTTATAGCTTATTTTTTAAGGAAAAACAAAGCTAATTTTGCTTAATTTGGCAGCTTTTAAGTGTATGAGTGTGTGGCCACTTGTCCTCTGGAAAATTCTTCTCTAAGCACCACCATCATCACTGTCGGCCCCCACTATATTACTCCATGTTTCCCCTAGGTTTGCATTTATTACAAATTTTTTAGTAGAAGACATTGTTTTATTGATGAATTTAAGCAACCACAAGAAACAATTCCACTAAACAATTATTAAAGATTAAAGCTTTAAATGGCAGCAAATAGTCTTCAAATTCTGCCTGTACTGCTTACACAGCCTCTGTGGCTTCTATTTAGTTAGTCTGCTGGTACTAAGAATAACTTAACCTTTTTTAAAACCTCTTTCTTTTGTTAATTTTAGGCTCCATTCTTTTTCAATCTTTTTTTTTTTTTTGGTGGGGGGTAGCGGTACTTACTCTGACCCTCTCCATCTGGGTGCTGAATGGGTACAGCAATTCAAATAAAATCAGGCCTAAAGAAAAGATGTCCACTTTGTGAGAGTAGTTGTTTCCGTGAATCTGAAATCCCATACAAAGAAGAAATACAAAAAATAATTAATACAGAGATGGTATAATTGATACTATGGCATTTGTGTAATCCCAAGGTTTACTTAGTCACTTCTTGATTTAAATGTAATTGTCTCCGTAAAAATGTTACTAAAGAGTTAATAAATCTCTGAAGTCTTTTCTCTTCAACTCACCACACCAAGAGTAATTAAACTACTCAGCATTACAGAAGGAAAGCCTGGGTCCGGCTCAGAGATATGCATCAGTAAGATAGGCCAGCAGAAACCTGGAGCCTTGCAATGCAAAAAAAGTTTGTGGGAGCCAGAAAAAGCTGCTCATCTGCCCCTGAGGTGAAGTTTTTCAAAGCAAGCCCTATCTGACGCAAATCTCTCATTTCTAATCATCTTAGTCCTCACCCATTTTTATGAGAAAATCTTCATTACTCCAAACCACTAATCAACTGTGCTTAGCCCTCATTATGGCACTTAATTATGGACTGCTTTGCATTCTTACTTGTATTTTTCATATGCATATTTCTTATTCTTCACAGCTAGATTATAAAGTCCTGGAGGGAAGGGAACTGCTTCTTTTGTATTCCCAGCATCCAGCACTGAGCTAAGTATAGAGAAGGCCCTCAATAAATAATTATTTGTTAAAATGAACAAATGAATTACAGCTAAACTACTCTATTAAACAAAGCCTTATTCAAATTAAAAGTGACCTCCTGGGACTCAGAAGAACCTTGTGTTTGTGAATGTTAGTTTTAGGCACCTAACCTGACATTTGACAAACCACCAAGGAAAGGTCTCCCTTAGGAAATGCTCTACATAAGCATTTCTTAAGAGGTGGGGGGTAGTTACAAGGGGGTTGCCAAGGTTCATGGTGCTCTTTACAAATTCCTCTCTAAACTTCATTTGGTATCTGTCCCTCTGGACTGGCTGGCATCCTTCTAAGCAGCCAGCCTAATTGTACGCTTTTATAACATCAGATGGAAAAGTGTCAGTGACCACCTTAGTTGCATCACCTTCTTCCCTTCTAAGCGACTGCGGCTATTTGAATTCTCTCTTACTTCTCACCCTTGAGGTTTGGGAAGTATTGAAAGAAAATATGTTTAAAAACAATGCTTACAGGGATAGGGGAACATAATTTGACAATTTCATGAAATGTAACTTGACAAGACATATCTCACACATATTGACTCCCACTTACTGATCCCACTTGAGTTCATCTATCCTAGAGTGCACGGAACTGTGGACAGAGATTTGTGTACAAGGACAAAGTTATCCAAGTGATATTTCTAACAGTAAAATTCACAAGTAACTGAAGGGTCCAAAAAACATACTGAATAAATTGCTTAACAGAGAGAATACTATTGCATCCAAAAACGTTTCCTAAGAACATTTAATAACATGGGAAATGCTTATATTTTTTAATATTGTACACAAAATTTTACAAAGAATCCCAATGTCATTTTCAAACCAAGGTATGTATAAATATAAATATAAAACTAACCACTGTTAATGTTTTAGGGTTTTTTAGTAAGTGATTTTTTCTTTATATTTTTCATATTACCTACATGAAAGACAAAATAACATAAGAGAAAAAAAGTATTACTAAATATGTTTTTAAAAAGAAGTACAGCCTCAAGACTACATGAAAAGTGATCTTTACAAAATATCTAAAAAACAATGACTCAAGCACAAAATCCCAAGGGGGGATATAATATACCTTTTTGGAGTTTAAATTGATTGTTTTATCACTGTGCAATACTAGAATTTGGCCTGTATTTCTTGGTATTACAACTAAGAACAAAGTAACTGTGGGATGTTTACTCTAAGAAAGAAGGTCATTTACTCCAAGAAAGACAACAAAATTAAACAATGTCTTAGCACAACTTCTAAGACTTTGGTAAGACAATTCAGAAAGCCAAAGTATTTTGAAAGGCTTTTTCTCCCTTTTTTTTTTTCTTATTGTTGTAAAAATATAGGTAACATTGAAAGGCTTTTTAAAGGGACATTTTTATAAAGTGACAGTTTCTGTACTTAAAAGAGGGTTATTAAGAAGAGGAAGTCCCTGGGTGGTGTAAGCAGTTAATGTGCTCAGTGGCTAACTGAAAGTTCACCAGAGGCACCTGGAAACAAAGGCCCGGTGATCTACTTCAAAAAATCAGCCACTGAAAACCCTATGGAACACAGTTCTTGGCCTCACACACGTGGGGTCGTTAAGAAGAGTTAAGCCTTTCTATTTTCTGTGCCATATTTTAACTACTGTACAGCTCCACAACAAGATTTCTGCGGCTATCCTTGGTTTTCTAGTATTTTCAACAACACTAAATGTAGCATCACTTGTCACTGATCTCTTTCTTTGTCAAATGGCAACCCCTGCCTCCAACAACCACGTGCACACACATGTTCTGGCATATACACTGCAATCCCAAACCAAAGCAGAGTGAGCACAGCAGCGTGTATGAGGTGGTCAAGACTATCTGGTGTTTATCTTCTACTGACATTCATAGTCACCCATCCACCAAAGGTGCTGTATGCTGGGCAACTGTTTTAGGTGTTGGGGATAGAGTAAAAAAAAAGATAAACTAGGTCCGTATTCTGATAGCAAGGTACCTAGGTAGCACAAAGAGTTTGCACTAGACTACTAACTAACATAAAAGAAGCCTGGGAGGTGCAGTGATTAAGCACAGGGCCGCTAACCTAAAGGTCGGCGGTTCGAACCCACCAGCTGCTCTGGGGGAGAAAGATGTGGCAGTCTGTTTCTGTGAAGATTACAGCCTTGGAAACCCTATGGGGTAGTTCTGCTCTGCAGTTCTCCTCTGTTCCACAGGGTCGCTATGTGTCAGAATCGACTAGATGGCAGTGGGTAGTAGTAGCAGTACTATCCTAAAGGTTGGTGGTTCGAACCCACACAGTGTTGCTGCGGAAGAAAGACCTGGTGATCTGTTTCTGTAAAGATTGCAGCCCAGAAAATCCTATGGAGCACAGTTCTACTCTGTAACACATGAGGTTGCCATGAGTAGGAATCCACTCGATGGCAGAGGGTTTGGTATTATTCTCATAGCTTATATTTTAGAGAGGAAGAAAGGACAAATATCAGAAAAAATTATAAATGCTATGAGAAGAATAAACAGAATAATGGGATAGACCCTGGCAGGAAAAAGAGGGGCACGTCTCCATCTAGTGAGGCTTCCTTCCATTAAGAAGCATGCAGATAGAGTTGCTTTTATTTCATCATTCCTATTTTGTTTTTACAATACTTAAAATATGAAGGTATTATTTCCAGCTTCTTGAATAATGATAAATTTTTAAACACTTAGATTTTTTATTATGGTAAAATATACATATAACAAAACATTTGCCATTTTAACAATTTTCAAGTGTAAGCACAGTTACCATGTTGCAATCATCACCACTATCCATTTTCAAAAATTTTCATCATCCTAAACAGAAACTCAGGACCCATAAGTAATAACTCCCCATTTCCTCTTCCCCGCAGCCCTGGTAACCACTAATAAACTTTTGTCTCTATGCATCTTACTAAAAACTTTCTAGCAGCAATTCTGATACATGTTTAGGGAGAAAAATGAGAAACTACAGAAAATTCAAAATAGATTAAAAATCATTTAAGTCCCATCCCCTAGATGCAATGACTGTTAACACTCTTTGGCTCTTCCAGTCCTTTTGCCTATGGATACAAATACGTATTTATAGTGTTTCAATCTATACTGCATGCAGTTTTTTCTTTACCAAGTCCTGGCCACGTCATTTGACTGGGATGATTCAGTAACATGGGCCAATAAATTTCTTTTTCTATTTGAGTCAGTATGGTTACTTGGGTTACAAATAACCAACTGTGTAAAATGAATGGCCTCTTAAGAAATTAAAATCTCTACTGTATCCCTTTCTAATTTCTAAGTTTATTTTTATCTTTTTTCTCTCTTAAGTAGATTTACTACAGAGAATTATCTGTTTTATTTAAAACCTTAAAAACAAACAGTATTATTTTTACACAGTTTTACCAATATCAGTTCTTTCCTTGTTTTTTCCCTCTTCTTGCTGGTCTTCCCCCCGCCTCCACCCCAACCCCAGGGTATCGAGCAGAAGGCTAAATCACTTATGCAGTAATGTGTTTTTGCAACGAAGGCTTTTAAATACATTTCTCTCTAAATAGAACTTTGATAGCTTCCTAAAAAATTTCAATATTTTTCATTTCTTTCATTACTTTTTCAATACTTTGTATGAGTATTTTTACTTCATTACTGACCTAATAATTAATCAGTTAGGAGGGTTTTTAAGTTTCCAGCTAACCAACAAAAGCAAAAACAAAATAAAAAACAATTTCTGTTTGCTAATGTATCTGGTCCTTGTGGCCTAGAGGTCTGAAATGAAAATATATCCCATTTTAAATTATTCATCGATAAATGTTCAAATGACAATTATAAATAAGCCCTAGTATATTTTTTATACATCTTTCATTTTTAACCTTTCTTTTGTGAAAAAAATGTTTAGCCAAATCTTAATTTCCCTTTCATGGTGAAATCTGAACATCTTTATTTATTGTCATAACTAATATTTGGCTTTAGCATCACTTTACATTAAGGTTTGCTTTCTGCTTTGCATTTCCATACCTTTCCTTTTGCTATAGTTTGCTTTCATCTCCTCTAGTGACACAGAAGGTAGAAATATTGTTTTTAATCCTACTGGCTGAATTTAGGTACATCAAATGCAAATCTCTGTCCCTACCTATGCTTTCCCTGTTCTTACCCTCTTCCATTTCTTGATCTTTGTTAATATGGGAGTTACAGACCCAGCTTATTATGATGACTGTACTTAAAATTATATACCTTTTACTAAGAGCACACTTTGGATTTTATATTCAATTTCAATTTGGTATCCATATTTACAAGAGCCATTGGTACTAATTGGTCTTGATGTCCATTGCCAATACTTTTATGTTAACAGTTTCTCTTAATTCTTAAGTTCAGTGTTAATAGGTAACATATTCGCATGGTTCAAAAAAAGTATATAGCAAAGTTTTCCTTCCCTACCCTCTCCCTCATCTGCCCAGTCTCCGCCAGCCATCTCCCCTCTGCCCACTGCCTCTATAATCATTCATTTTTTGCATACCTTTTTCCCCAGAGTTTCTTTATGTAAATATAAACGAACACATATTTATGTTTTTCTCCTTTACACAAAAGGTAGCCCACTATGCACACATTTCTGCACCTTTCTTTTTTCACTTAAGAGATTTTTAATTTAAGCTTACCCAACTAAAATTGTCTGATTTCTCTGTACATGAATAATTTCATAGGTCTCAACTTTTTTCCTCAGAGCTGTACATATTGCTTTATTGTCTTTTGGGGTTTAGTGCTATAGAAAACAAGTTCTTTAGCTATAATCTTTTTTTTTTTTCCTACCTAAATACCTGTAGCATTTTTTCTTTATCTTTGAAATTCAAGATGTCTAAGTAGAGGGTTCTTCTAATTTTTTTAAAAAAAAATGAAAATTTAAAATGTGAGAAAGTAATACTTGAATAATGCAAACAATTCAAACAGTACAAAAGAATACTGTGCCACAGTAAAATAAAGTCCCTCTCTTCACAGGCAATCCCTTTTTTAGTCGTCTGTGGTATAGCCTTTCAATGATAATCTAAGCCAGTGTTTCTCAAAATGTGGTCCATAGAACTCTGGGGATCCCAAGACCCTTTCAGGGAGTCTGCCAGGTCAAGACTATATTCACAATACTAAGATGGCATTTGCCTTTTCACTGTAAGTGTTTATATTTGCAGTGCTGGTACTCTAGCATGAATCAAGGCAGCAGCACCAAAATGTATTAAACCCATTGTCATTGAGTCGATTCCAACTCATATTGACCCTATAGGACAGAATAGAATTGTCCCACGGGTTTCCAAAGCCATAAATCTTTACGGAAGCAGACTGCCACATCCTTCTCCTGCAGAGCCACTGGTGGGTTCGAACTGCCAACCTTCTGGTTAGTAGCCAAGCACTTTTACCACTGTGCCACCAGGGCTCCTTCCAAACTGTACTAGCAGTAATTATACTGTTCAGTGCCACACAGTCATAGTTAAAAGTAAAACAAAAAGAGATCATTTCACTTAAAATGTCCTAAGGTAGTAAAAATTATTGTTATTAAATATCTTAAGTATACTTCTTTTTAATATTCTGTGTGACAAAATAGGACGTATTCATAAAGCATTTCTGTTCCACACCAAAGTAAGATGGATGTCTCAAGAAAAAGTATTTGTGTAATTGAGTTATAAGACGAAATAGCCAGTCTCTTCATAGGACAACATTTTGACTTGAAAGAATGGGTGGTAGGCAAACTCTAGTTACCCAGACTTGAGTATTTGACGGCCATTTTCTCAAAGATGAACAAAGTGAGGATGGTACTACAAGGAAAACTGACAGTATTTGTTGCCAGTGATAAAAGTTGAGCTCTCAAGTGAAAATTAGAATTTTGGAAAATTCTGCATCCACCACTGTAACTTGACAGTTCTATAATCCTTACAGCCCTTTCTGATGAGATTGTGGTATTAACTGATGTGATCTTTTATATTGTACAATGAAATGAGACAACAGTTGGAAGACGGAAGAGCTGCATAACTCAGGGAACCAATGGTTTCCATACAGTCAATGTACAACATTATAAAATTTTGAATAGGCAAAAGAGCCATTCAAAATGCAAGACGGATCAAGGGATGTTAATGTTAACAGCGTACAAAATGTTCACTGATATGGTTTAAGAGTCCACTTGTTGAGTTTTGGTGTGGCTGAAAGAATACCCACAATTACTTGAAAAAGATAGTAAAAATATTCCTCCCTTATCCAGTTTACATATCTATGTGTGGTCAGATTTTCTTCATACACTTCAACCAAACAATATATGGTAAAAGATAAATGCAGAAACAGATACGAGAATCCAGCTCTTTTACAGATTTTAAAGATTTGCAAAAATGTAAACAAATGCTACTCTTATAAATTTTTTTGTTTTGTTTTGGAAAATATTTATTTTTCATAAAAGTATCTTAAGGTGTTTTGGGTCAATACTGTCATTTTTAACTGAATTAATAAAGTTTTACAAATTCCTCCTGTTTTAATTTCTAATGGCAAACCTTGATAGATAAAACTTTTTAAGAAAAACTCTTTCAGGTTCTCGACTTTTATAGGTGTAAATGATTACTGAGACCAAAAACTTTGAAGACTGCTGATCTATGCATATATATAAGCTGTGAATATATCAGCCTGATAGTGCTGGGTCTGCTACTGCACTCCCAGGATGCACTGCTCCCACTGCTCCTCTGGTTCCTGCACTGTTTACAATGCTTTTCCTTTAGAGACTAAGCATCTCAGAAGGCAACTTATCCTGGCTTATCTACCTCTATTTCCTGCCATGGTACATGCTGGAAGCTGTGAATTACTGTAGAGGGAAGTTCAGTACAGTCCTCTGGCTCTAGCTGCTCTGAAACATCTTCTGCTTAGTTGACACAAGGTCACACATGACCTGGAGTTAAGTTTGCAAGGAGGGCATTCAAAGTCTCTTTTTTGGTTGCTGTCTGGTTCTGGTTCAGAGGGTGTGGTGCATTGTATGTGCTGTATTTTTCTTAATTTATCCTCAATTTAGGTAATAGAAATCACACTCTAGCTGAGTTACCTGTGGAATACTACAGCCAGTTTTCATATTTTATATTATTGAGTATTTTAATGAGAATGTGGGAGGAGATGCATCAGATATAACTATCTTGCTGCCACTCTAATTAAAAGTCTGTTTTTTCTTCAGAAGGAAAACAAACTCACCTGCTCTGGGCTCATATACAGTTTGGTCCCTACTTGTCCTGTGTGTCTGGCATAAGCTGGCATCGGGGTCAGAACCGTCTGCTCCTCCTCATCCTGGTCCATGGCAGTCACTAGTCCAAAGTCTCCAATCTTTACCACATCATCCATTGTAAAGAATATATTGGAAGGCTAGAAAAATAAAGCAGAAGAAAATACAGTGAATGTGTGTTATGGATTGAATTGTATCCCCCCAAAATGTGCGTCAACTTGGCTAGGCCATGATTCCCGGTATTGTGTGGTTGTCCACCATTTTGTGATCTGATGTGATTATCGTATGTGTTGTAAATCCTAACCTCTATGATGTTAATGAGGCAGGATTAGAGGCAGTGATGTCAATGAGACAGGACTCAATCTACAGCATTAGGTTATATCTTGAGTCAATCTTTTTTGAGACAAAAAAGAGAGAATCGAGCAGAGAGAAGAGAGACCTCATGCCACCAAGAAAGAAACGCTGGGAGTGGAGCACGTCCTTTAGACCCAGGATTCCACTTGTGATATTTCTGTTATAGCAGCACTGGATAACTAAGACAGTGTGTAGTGAGGATAGAAAGTAAACAGAATGAGTTTAAAGACTTTTAATGTCTGTTTTTAACAAAGAAGAATTTATTCTCTCCCAGTTTAAGAGGCCAGAATTCTGAATTCAGGGTGCCAGCTGCAGAGGAAGGCTCTCTCTCTGTCAGCTCTGGAGGAAGGTCTTTGTCATCAGTCTTCCCCTGGTCAAGCAGCTTCTCAGCACAAGGACCCCGGGTCCAAAGGACTTGCTATTCTTCTTGCTCTTATTTCTTAGTAGTATAAGGTCCCCAAGTCTCTTTGCTCACTTCACTCTTTTATATCTCAAAACAGACTGATTTAAGACACAATTTAATCTTGTAGATTGAGTCCTGTCTCATTAACATAACTGCCGCTAATCCCACTTCATTAACATCATAGAGGGAGGACTTACAACACATAGAAAAATTACATCGTGACAAAATGGTCAGCAACCACACAATACTGGGAATCATGGCCTAGCCAAGTTGACTGCACATTTTGGAAGGACACAATTCAATCCATAACAATAACTATGGAAGAACAAAAAAACTAAATATTCTGAAGCCTGTTTCTCTTTAAAATGGGCTAATATAAAATAAGAACAATTCTTTGATGCCAGTTGAGTCCTGTGCATCAAGAATAGGGAAGGGTAGCAAAAGGTACTAGCATTTATTGAATGTCTACTTAAACTCTTAGAGATCCACATTCCCTTGGAGATTCAGATTCCCAGGGTATCTAATCCTCTCAATCTTATTTTCTATATACTCTCTTTTGGTAAGCTTTTCTACATTTATGACTTAAGCCATAATAATTATAACAATAATAGTAATAATAATAGCAAATGCAGACTGCATTTGTATCAGGCACTGCTTAAGCAGTTTACTACTATTAACTCAATACAACTCTATGAGTACTCCCATTTTTCAGATGTGGAAACTGAGGCCCAGAGAAATTAAGTAAATTGCCCAAGGTTACTTAGCTGCTAAGGGGTAGAGCAGGGATTTAAATCCAGGCAGTCTGGCTCCATGAGAAAAGGACCTGGCCTTTTAATGTACTGTGGCATGTCCATCACCCAGCACAGTTCTTGCCCTATGGTAGTTACTCACTAATATTTGATGAATGAACGAAGCAGACTGATTTTCTGGTTTGTGTCTGAGAGGGGAAGTAGACTACCAAAGGAAATAAAAGCTCTTAACTATTATCCTGTGCTGCCTCTTCTAATACCCATATGCTCAGGATCCTATGGAGTAGTTCTACTCTGTCACACAGGATCGCCATGAGTTGCAACTGACTTGATGGCAACAGGTTTGGTTTTTCAGTTTTAGGAGGACACTGTATTTTAGGTAATGAGAAAAGCCTGGTATACTAGAGTAGAAAGGATAAAAGACTAGAAGTCGGGCCGGAAAGTGCCGATGACAAAAGGGAGAGAGGGCCCAGAAGGTTTAACACTGAGCTCAAAGACTTTAAGTCAGAATGTAACATATAGCTTTTTCAACTGGGAATAAAAATCTTGGGAATATTTTTTTCTAACACACTAGAAAGCTTTAAAATGAACTTGTCTTTAGAAAGGAATAAAACCTTTTTGATTTCTAAAAAAAAGCTAAAGGGAAATTTTTCTTCTTGAAATTTTCTAGCGCATAGATAGACAGACAGAAAAATTCTTAGAAAACATTGTAGCACTAAGCAAATAGTCACCAGTATCTCATTCACCATTATAAAATCAGCAGAAGAGTATTTGTTATTAGTGAAAACATAATTACACTGCCTTTCAACTTGCTATTTTATGTGTATCATGTTAAATAAGTGCACATCAGCTAGCTGGTTTCCACCCTGTGACAATCGTTTCCCATATTCAAACCTAAATAGTCAAGTCACCTTTCAGGTTAGGGGTGCCCAGCCTCCTGGCAGTTGTATTCTCCCTTCCAACCAAAATAATTCATCTCTGTAATTTTCAGTCAGTGCAGAACCATTCCCGCCAATTAGTTTGGGCCCAAATCACTGATACGTCAGAAGACTCCCGCGGAGGACTTCACGTCCCGCTACAGAAAGCTGATGTATTTTAGCAAACCTCTTTTTACCCAGTGGTGAGGTCAATGCTGAACAAAACCTCCTAAATAACCTATACAAGGGCAAGATACACCAAAAGACTGGGCTTCTAGTCACTCAAAACAGCAAGATTAAGTCATGTATATAGTCTTGTCCCCAAAAAATACTTTTCTCTTATTGTAATTTTAATACTCTATCGGCTGCTAACCAAAAGGTCAGCAGTTCAAATCTACCAGCTGCTCCTTGGAAACCCTATGAGGCAGTTCTGCTCTGTCCTTTAAGGTCACTATGAGTCGGAACTGACTTGACAGCACCTAACAACAACAACAACATCTTTTAATATAGTTACTTGTGCTTATTTTTTTCCTCCTTTCCTTCACCATGCCAACTCCTTGAAGGCGAGATCTCTGTATCTTCTGTAATATCTAGCATCATATCTTATACATAAAACAAAAAAACCAAACCCGGCGCCACTGGGTCGATTTCAACTCATAGTGACCCTACAGGACACAAGAGAACTGCCCCATAGGGTTTCCAAGGAGTGCCTGGTGGATATGAACTGCCGATCTTTTGGTTAGCAGCCGTAGCTCTTAACCACCACATCACCAGGATTTCCATCATATACACAGTTACCAGTAAAAAAAAACAAAAACCCAGTTGCCCTTGAGTCAACTCCTACTCATGGCGACCCCAAGTGTGTCAGAGCAGAACTGTGCTCTATAGGGGTTTTATGGCTGATTTTTCAGAAGTAGATCACCAGGCCTTTCTTCTGAGGCACTTCTGGGTAGACTTGAACTCCACCCTTTTGGTTGGCAGCTGAGTGTGTTAACCATTTGGGCCACCCAGGGACTCCATACCACCACATTTCCTACAACTGAGAAGATACAGTACTCAATTTCTTTTACATTTTGGTTTTTAAAAATATAATTGGGTAACAATTACTTTGGAAAACAGGAATTATTTCTAATTCTTATGCCTGTTATCCCAAATTCTTAAAATATACTCAGGGATTTAAAAAGCTACTGCTGATTTAGAAGAAAATAACGTTTGCCCAAATAGCAACCTTGGTGCCTGAAACAAAGGTCTATAGTCACATAAAGCAAAACTGAAAATACTTCAAATGGGTCCAAATCTATCAAGAGTTTAAGCTACTTTGAGCAGAAAAATATTTATATATTCACTACACATTTACTGCTGATTGCTATAAGTATATGGAACATGGCAGAACTGAGTTAAATAAAAGTTCCATACGCTTATTTTCAAAAACACATACCAAGGACACCATTAACTGTGGCTTGATGGTGTCCTAGTAAAAGTGAGGTTGTTTATGTTACCTGTCATGAAGATTAAAAGATCTGTATTGGTTAAACACACACACACACAAAGGAAATGCTGCATGTTTTAGTTAGAATCTTACGTAATTCATCATATACTACGATAATATTCAATATTGTATATACCAAAAATGGAATCAAAGATTTACAGCTGAAAACCACCATCTGTTACCTTTTGCCATCCATCTTCCCACGCCCTCCTTTAAGGCCCAAACAGTTCAGAAATAGGGGGGAAAGCATGAGATGTTAAATGATTTACCCCAAGTCAAAGCTGGCTAGATAAGGAGCCCCTGTCTCTCCTTCCATCTGAGTCCTGTCCCCATGCTACTTCAGGGCCCTAGGGGCACTTGTGTCAAGGTAACTAAAAGCCATAGAAAAAAATGAGGTGTATCTACTCATAGTGGATTGTACATAAAGATTTTTCTTTCTTTTTTTTTTCCACGAGGGGATTGGGAATGTTCTTTCCAGTAAAATGAACATAAACACATTACAGAGCAGAATGTACGATCTGCCCGAAATATTCCAAGTAGGAGACTTCTTATTCTGCAGCAGGCCCCTTCAGGCTGCTTTCCCAGACCTTTGCTCCCAATACCTTCACTCTTCTCTGCTCTTCAGCTAAAAACTGAGAAGGAGTGCAAATACTACTCCGAACAACACAAAGGCAGACTGAAACCCTTGTATAATGTGCCACAAATACAAACCTTGAGGTCCCTGTGCATGAGTCCTTTACTGTGCAAAAACTCCACTGCCTCAGCTATCTGCAGGAAGATATGCAGACACACGGTCCTCTCCCTTTCCTCGATGGCACATCGCCCGTTCAGCCAGTCTTTGAGGTTTTCCTTCCTGCACAGCTGCATCTGAATGTAAAGATACACCTTCGGTGAACTGGGCTGGAGTTTCTCGGCAGTGGTTTTAGTGAGATCTAAACTTAAAGTGGTTGGTCTTGGAGGAGAAACAGACAAAGTAGGTTCAGAAGACGATTTACTACTAGCATGCTTGCAGCCAGTTAGTTTATTAGCATAATGGTTGCCAATATGCAGTCTGTTAGTTTTGAGGTCTTCTTTGCTGGAGGCATTATCACAGCCAGAATCTTCAAATACTATAGAAGAGGAGGTTCTCTCCCTTGACCTTACAGAAGAGGCTTCAGAAGGACAGAGTTCAAAGGAGTGTCCTTCATCATTGCCATCCATAGTACCATCTTCCCCCTCACAGTCTGTAAGGCAACTGTCCTGGAGGTTGCACACTGGATCCACTGACCCACTGACATCTCTGTGGTCAGCTCCCGAGAATTCCAGTGGAGAGAATGGGCTCAAGGAAGAACTTGTCTGGCCACAGGAAATCCCTACTGAAAAAGACCTACTTCTTACTGGTGAAGGAGCTATGATTTCAATACGTTCTTTTGTAGAGAAGGGATCCATTCTGCGTATTTTAACTGATGGTGCATCCATTGGGCTCGGAGAGCTGAGTGGCCAATCTGTGCTAGAGGTGGGAAGAATACAAAAGTATGAGAGTGAATATATGTTGATTATTTAAACTGTGTCCTGTGTTTAAAAAGCTTCAACTATAATTAAACAGTTTCTAAATGACCAACAACATAGACCAAAAAAAAAAAAAACACATTGCCTCCGTTGAGTTGATTCCAACTCATATTGACCCTATAGGACAGGGTAGAACTGCCCTATAGAGTTTCCAAGGAGTGGCTGGTGGACTTAAATTATCGACCTTTTGCTTAGCAGCTGTAACTCTTAACCACTGCACCACCAGGGCTCCAACAATACATAGATTACATAAAAATACGCTGTATGAGACAAAAAAAAAAATCATATTCCAACCACTTCTTCCAAAAATTTAAATTTGGAAGTTTAATTTTATACTTGAAACGGCTAGCTGGGGCTGTCATGCCAGAGAAGCTAAGGCCTTTTGTGTAAAACACGGAGTCCTGAAGGAACCGAAGCACAGGATTCCTCGGTGGCCATAATTCCTAAGCTCTGATCAAAATGAGGGCAGCAGCAGCTCACAGGGCCTTGAGAAAAGGAGGCTGCTTCACTTGGTACTTCCATGGTTAGTTATGGGCCCCAACTGTGTTTCTGTAACAAGGTACCCGACATGGATCTAGCGCTGTGTCAGATACTCTAGGCAGGCATTTTATTCCAGCTGTTTTCGTAAATAGTCTATTTGCAGTCTGCCTCTTTTCTGTTCTCAGTACTTTTTAAAGACATTCTTTCTTATAGCATATCATACTATACAGGTTCGTAATGGGAAATATCTTCAGGTTACTTAACTTTACATAATTTTTTTGTATTATTATTGTACTTTAGATGATGGTTCACAAAACAAGCCAGCTTGACATTAAACAATTAGTACACATATGGTTTTGTGACACTGGTTACCAACCCCACGACATGTCAACACTCTCTTCTCGAACTCGGGTTCCCTATTACCAGCTTTCCTGTCCCCTCCTGCCTTCTAGTCCTTGCCCCTGGGCTGGTGGGCCCCTTTACTCTCATTTTGTTTTATGGGCCTGTCTAATCTTTGGCTGAAGGGTGAACCTGAGGAGTGACTTCATTACTGAGCTAAAAGGGTATCCGGGGGTCATACTCTTGGGGTTTCTTCAGTCTCTGTCAGACCAGTAAGTCTGGTCTTTCTCTGCGAGTCCGAATTTTGTTATACATTTTTCTCCGGCAATGTCCAGGACCCTATATTGTGATCTCTGTCAAAGGAGTCAGTGGTGGTAACCAGGCACCATCTAGTTGTACTGAACTCAGTCTGAAGGAGGCTGTGGTAGCTGTGGTCCATTCGTCCTTTGGACTAATCTTTCCCTTGTGTCTTTGGTTTTCTTCATTCTCCCTTGCTCCAGACAGGGTGAAACCAGTGGAGATTCTTAGATGGCCACTCACAAGCTTTTAAGACCCCAGATGCTACTCACCAAAGTCGAATGTAGAACATTTCCTTTACAAACTATGTTATGCCGATTGAGCTAGATATTCCCTGAGACCATGGTTCCCACAGCCCTCAGCCTCAGGGAGTTTGGATGTGTCTATGGAGTTTCCATGACCTTGAGTTTACATATTTTTTAAATGAAAACAGTTAAAACTACTTTAAAAAGGAGATGTAAATTGCTAAGAGAAAGACCATATGTATTTTTTTAAAAGAATGGAGACAAATAAAAACACCATACGTCACACTGAAAAAGCTACTGCAAATCTCTCGGTGAACTCAACTCACAAAGCTCTAACTGCTAATGATTTTTAACATTCATATTCTCAGAAACCAAACCAACTAACAAGCGGCTAGGGACGTTTTCAAAACATGATGATGGAGAACGGGAATCTGCTGTTCTTTTCCTTAAAAAAAAAAAAAAAAAACCCTAATGTTATAGAAATGATATTTTGTTCACAGATGCAAAATACTAGCCTAAAGGAAAATATTAGGTTTTAAGACTATGTCTAACAAAGTTACCTTTCATCTTTCAGCCAAATTTCATCCATCTTTTCTTGCCACTTCTCTGGTGGTGCTTCCAACCAGGCATTGAAATATCTAACAATACCTGGGTGCTCAAGCTTGGCCAGAGCTTTAACTTCTCGCATTACCTTTTCCCGAGCCAACTCCCTGAAATAGAGAAAAAAAAAGACACTGAAGGTTGTCATATCTGCAGAAGTAATCAAGTTCAACAGTGAAAACACAGAAATAATATTCTCCCTTCAAGTCAAAATTAGAAATAGATGAGTCGACTTAGTTGTACTGATATAAATCCAAGAAGCCATATAAGAAGTCCTATATTTTAAAAACAACATATTTTAATGTTTTTTTTTTTTTCTTCTGGAAATAAGTCCTATTATAGACTCAATGGAAACCCTGGTGGTGTAGTGGTTAAGAGCTACAGCTGCTAACCAAAAGGTCGGCAGTTTGAATCCAATAGGTGCTGTTTGGAAACTCTACGGGGCAGTTCTACTCTGTCCTATAGAGCAGCTATGAGTTGGAATCGACTTGACAGCAACGAGTTTTTATAGACTCAACAGGAGGATAAATAAGTAGATGTGAGTGAGGTATTTAGAAGAAAGAGGTTAGCATCCCAAGCTCAGGAGGATAGAGAACAACCACCACAAAATGGTACCTATCACAAACTAAAAAGGCATGTACGATCACATTTGTTTGCTTGTTTATATCGCAAGCCTCGACTACTGAATATCACAGACAGTGAAGTTTAACTAGAAAAACATCAATTTTATCTTCTGCTGTGACAACCTGTCTAACGGATCTGACATTTCTAGTGATTCAACCATCACCTTAACCAACATCAATAAGTACAAAATACATCTTCTTCCTTTCTGCAGAAGAAAGTCAGTTACTGTGACTTTTTCCTTGGTGTTCTGTTGTTGCTAATCTCTCCCATTCTCCTAGACTAAGAATCTCAGTACATTTTTCATTTTTCTAACTTTTAAGTACCCACATTCAGCGTTATGGATTGAATTGCGTTCCCCTAAAAATATGTGTCAGCTTGGCTAGGCCATGATTCCCAGCATTGTATGGTTGTCCTCCATTTTGTGATTTCATGTAATTTTCCTCTGTGTTGTAAATCTTAACCTCTGTGATGTTAATGAGGCAGGATTAGTGGAGTTATGCTAATGAGGCAGGACACAATCTACAGGATTAGGCTGTATCTTGAGTCAATCTCTTTTGAGATATAAAAGAGAGAAGCGAGCAGAGAGGAGAGACCTCATTACCACCAAGCAAGAAAGCTTTTTCATGAGAAGCTACTTACTAAGATAAGGCAAGGGTTACAATCTTCCCGGCATTTTAATTATTTAAATAAATTACAAAAGCCCCAAATAGTTACAGCTTCTGTCCTCATCTTATACATATGCATATGAATAATTAAACTACTCAAAGTTATATACCAAAAGAAACGAATTAGTTCTGTAATACCCAAACCATCAACAGGGATTCTTATGTCCCTATCTGCAGTCAAAACATTGAAATACCAGTTAAAAGACAGCACAGCAATTAGTGCACATTTAATCAAGAATCAGTAAGAACAACATGTCCGACAAGGGTCTACTCTCTAAAATCTACAGAATACTTCAACACTTCAACAACAAAAAGACAAATAATCCAATTAAAAAATGGGCAAAGGATATGAACAGACACTTCACCAAAGAAGACATTCAGGTGGCTAACAGACACGTGAGGAAATGCTTGTGATCACTAGCCATTAGAGAACTGCAAATCAAAACTACAATGGAGAGGTTTTGGGGAGACTGGAACTCTTATGTACTGCTGGTGGGAATGTAAAATGATACAACCACTATGGAGAATGATATGGCACCTCCTTAAAAAGCTAGAAATAGAAATACCATATGATCCAGCAATCCCAACCCTAGGAATATATCCTAGAGAGATAAGAACCATCACACGAACAGACAGACGCATACCTATGTTCATGGCAGCATTACTCACAGCAGCAAAAAGACAGAAACAACCTATGTGCCTGTGACGGTTAAGGTTGTATGTCAACTTGGCTGGGCCATGATTCTCAACCGCTTGGCAGTTATGATGTAGTTTGGCAGTTATATAATGATATAATCATCTCCATGATGATATCTGATATAATGTAATCTCCTCCATCATGAGAAGTGCCGATCAGTTGAAAGGGAGTTTCCTTGTGGGGATGGCCTGCATCCAACATATATGGACTCTCTGGCAAAGCTCGCTGGCTTTTGCTCTGCTTTGCATCCTGCATTTGGCTCGTCATCATCTGAACTCAGTTCTTGGGACGTGAGCCAGCGAGCAGTCTACCATCTTATCTGCCAGCCTTGGATTCTTCAGCCTCCAAAGCTTGTAAGCCAGCAGCCTACCATCTGATCTGCCAATCTTGGGTTCATCAGCCCCCGTGGCTACGTGAGTGAAAAGAAGCCTCCAGCCTGACATCTGACCCACAGACTTGGGAATTTCTGGCCTCTACAACCATATCAGCTATTTCCTTGATACAGATCTTTCTCTACATATACATGCTTCACTGGTTTTGCTTCTCTAGAGAACGCAGCCTAAGATAGCGTCCATCAACAGATGAATTGATAAACAAAATTATGGTATATGTACAGGATGGAATACTACACAATGATAAAGAACAATGAATCTGCCAAACATCTCACAACATGGATGAACCTGGAGGCCAGTATGCTGAATGAAATAAGTCAGTCATAAAAGGACAAATATTGTATGAAACCACTATCATAAAAACCCAAGAAAAAGTTTACACACAAAAAAAAAACAATCTTTGATGGTTACGAGGTGAGGAGGGATGGGGAGGGCAAATCACTAACTAGACAAGTAGACAAGTTAACTTAGGTGAAGGGAAAGACAACACACAATATAGGGAAGCCAGCACAACTTGACCAAGCAAAGTCTAGAAGCTTCCTAGACACATCCAAACACCTTGAGGGACCAAGTTATTGGGGCTGAGGGCTGCGCACCATGGTCTCAGGGGACATCTAGGTCAATTGGCATAACATAGTTCATAAAGAAAATATTCTAAATCCTACTTTGGTGAGTGTCTGGGACCTTAAAAGCTTGCAAGCAGCCATTTAAGATCCATCTACTGGTCCCATCCCATCTGGAGCAAAAGAGAATGAAAAAAAACAAAGACACAAGGAAAATATTAGTCCAAAGGACTAACAGACCACATGAACCACAGCCTCCAGCAGCGTGAGCCCAGAAGAACTAAATGGTGTCCAGCTACCATCACTGACCACTCTGACAGGGATCACAATAGAGGGTCCTAGACAGAGTGGAAGAAAAATGTAGAACAAAATTCAAATTCACAAAAAAAAAACCAGGCTTACTGGTCTGACAAGAGATTGGAGAAACCCCTGAGACTATGGCTCCCGGACACCCTGCTAACTCAAAACTGAAGGCACACCTGAAGTTCGTTCACCTTTCAGCCAAAGGTTAGACAGGCCTATAAAACAAACAGCAACACACGTGAGGAACGTGCTTCTTAGTTCAATCAAGTATACAAGACCAAATGGGCAACACGTGCCCAAAATCAAAGACAAGAAGGCAGGAAGGGGCAGGAAAACTGGACAAATGGACATGGAGAACCCAGGATGGGAAGGGGAAGGGGGAGAGTGCTGACATACTGGGAGGATTGCAACCAATGTCACAAAACAATTTGTGTATGAAATTTTTGAATGAAAAACTAATTTGCACTGTAAACTTTCATATAAAACACAATAAACTAAAAAAAAAAAAAAGTTAATAAGAATCTTCTACATAGATGGCAAGGAAGGTAATACTGAAAGCCCATTTTCTTAAAAGCATCACACTGTTTTGAGTCAATAATTCCACTTCTCGAAATCTATCCCAAGGAAACAACAAATGTGAAAACATTTGTATAAAAGATGAACACTGCAGAATTATTTTTAATTGTAACACATTAGAAACCTAAATGCTTAACAATAAGAAACGGTTAAACAAAATAAGGCATGTGTATTAGTTGAACTATTATCTAGCCATAATATACTTTACATCTTAACATCAAAAATGCTGAGAATGCCATGAAGGAAGCAACAGACAAAACTGTACGGTACTGATAACTAGCTACTAATTACATAAATTTATGCCCAGAAAAAAAAAATAAAAGGAAATATTCTAAAATGTTAATAGTATTTATTACTGGGTGGAGGGAATACAAGTAGTTTTTGTTTTAACACTTTTCCTTATTTTTCACAATAGACAAAGATTATTTTTAAATGGTGCTATTTATTAAAGTCTATACGTATTATAGGAGCCCTGGTGGCACAGTGGTTAAAGCGCTCAGCTGCTAATCAAAAGGTCAGCAGTTTCTCCACCAGCCACTCCTGGGAGAAAGATGTGGCAGTTCTACTCTGTCCTACAGAGTCGCTATGAGTTGGAATTGACTTGACAGCAGTGGGATTGGTTTGGTTTTGGGTAGTGTCTTAGGCTGGCTTCTCTAGAGAAGCAAAACCAGTGCAACATATATATATAAATACATATATATGTTTAGAGAGAGAGAGAGAGAGAGATTTATATCAAGGAATGGCTCACAGTTATAGAGGCTGTAAAGTCGCAAGCTGAAAACAGAAATGCAAACAGGTACTTGTATACCAATGTTCACTGCAGCATTATTCACAGTCACCAAGAGGTAGAAACAAGCTAAATATCCATCAACAGCTGAATGGATAAACAAAATGTGATCTATACATACATACCATGGGCTATTATTCAGCCATAACGAGAAACGAAGCTCTGATACACGCTATGACACGGATGAGCCTTGAAAACACGATGCCGAGTGAAGTAAGTCAGACACCAAGGGACAAACATTGTATGAGCTGACTTACGTGGAATAACAAGAACAGGCAAACGCGTAGAAACATAGTGTTCACAAGGGCTGGGTGGAAGGGGGAAATAGGGAGTTATTGCTTAAGGGGTACTGAGTTTCTGTTTAAAAAAAAAAACAAAAAACAAAAAAAAAACCCAAACTGTTGCCATCGAGTGGATTCCAACTCAGAGCAACCCTATAGGACAGAGTAGAACCGCCCCATAGGGTTTCCAAGAAGCGGCTGGTAGACTAGAACTGCTGACCTTTTGGTTAGCAGCCAAGCTTTTAACCACTGCACCACCAGGGCTCCGAGTTTCTGTTAAGGGTGATGAAAAATATTTGGAAATGGGTAGTGGTGGTGGTTAGCAACATGGTGAATGTTACTAACATCACTGAATTGTACACTTAAAAATGGTTAAAGTCGCAAACATTTTTTAATACGTGTCTTACCACAATAAAATTTAAAAAACAAGGGCAGATTTTTTAAGTAGCTGCAAAGCAATCTAAATAAATAGATCACATCTTTTACACAGCTGTGTCTGGGAGCACTTAGAACTTAAGATTCTGAAGGTCAGAAACTGTTGTCTATAGTCTTTATAGAATACAGGTGCTCAACAAATAGAGATAATTAAAAATGCACTAGCCTCAATAAGGACATACTGCGATGAGATCATATGGCGCTAATCCCAAGTTCACGAGAAGTAACGCTCATTACCTGTTGGGGAGACGGATCCTTTTGATAGCGTAATTGCAGTCATCTACTTTGTTTCTAGCTTCAAAGACAACTCCAAACCCTCCACGACCCATGCACTGAATTGGTTCAAAATCTGTTAGATATCTTAAAAAAAAAAAAAAGGTAAATTAAAAAAAAAAATGAAAAATAGTTTTAAATGTTGTAGTAAAGTAATATTCAGGTCAATCTTTTTTATGATATATAAGAATGATACACTCAGTAAGCCCCAGAAATTATTTTAATAAAAAGTATAGTTTGAATTCTACTAACTGGCTTCTTTGTTCTTCTGTTTACATAAATGAGAATACATTCTATCTTTTTTCCCAAGGAAATTTATAAATAATAAAAAGGCTTCTGTTTAACTGTAACTTGTTCTTACAGCCATTGTACTACTGATCTGTCCAGCCCAATACTTTCCATCATCTACCAAAATAGATTCTTAACTCTCTAAACATTTACCCCGTCTAGCATTTTATACTCTCTATTAGAAAACGTATTTTAATTTTATGCCACTGTTTGTATATTTATGGGAAAAATTCAATCAATCCTATTATATTTAAGTACATTTTTATTCAGAAATCTTTCTGAGAACCAAACGTGTCTGACACTGGCTGGTTGCCTGAGTCAGCATGCTCATCACTAAAGGTATTCGATAGGCAGAAGCTACATCCATCACCACCTGTCGCTTACATGGACCACCACACTGCAGCCTGTTTCTCCTTTAGTCCCTGACCTCCCGGATCTGTGCTGGATATTCCAGCCAACTGGCACCTCACTCTCTCACAACTTCAGGGCTTTTGCTTCTGCTATTTGCTCTATAGGGACGGCCCTTCCTCTTTGTACTTAATGAACCCCTATTCTTTCAGAATTCTGCTCATCTCACCACTCCTATAAAGCCTTCCTAGACCCCTGTCCTTGTTTCTCTTTGTATTTCCAGAGCCTGGGCACTACCTGGCAAATAGGAGACCTAACAAGTGTCTGTTGAATAAATGCATGCATACTGCGGATGGTACTCCAGCCATATGGGGGAGAACTACATTATCTTTGGTGTCCCTTAGAAGGCTAAGTGTATTACTTTCTGATTTACACACTCATATTAATTTAGAAGTAGTTGGCTCAGCTGGTTAGAACATGAAGTTAAGGAGGAGAAGCAACAGGTCCCAACCCTCCATGGGCCAATTACCTTCACAGAGAATGAACAGTAATAATCTATTATCCCTAAAAATAGCTAGTGATTGTAACTCAGTACAGACCTGTCTCCTCAACTGCAAAAGCCCAGGAAGTTCAGGTCCTACTCCTGGAAAGCCAAGGGAATGATCTTCCTATACTCAGAACAACACCCATATGAAAACAGATACATCTTCTGAAGTGTAACATCTTATATAATGATTGTAGATCCAAGAAATGTAAGTATCATCTTGTCTAAGTTCCCAGATGATGACAAAACTGGGACTTGAACTCACTACTGAATCCAGAGCTCATGCTCTTAATAGTGCCTAGTGCATAGTAAGCGCTCAGTAAACATTAGATAGTATTACTATTATCACAGAGCCCCTTTACTAAAACAAAAACTTAACGAAAAACCAGTCATACTCTTCACCGTGAATAAAGTTAAAATTGATTTAAGTTTAATTCAGTTTTAGAGTACCTTATTCAAATTCTCTTCACAACAGCCTGACAAATATAACTTGACTTACCACACTCCATTCTTTCCCCAGGCTCTACCTGTCTCTTACTTACTCAGATTTAAGGTTCAATTCAAATGTGACCTCATTTCTGATGCCCCCCTGAACCATCACAACCAGATTTAGTCACTTGGCTCGTGGTTCACACCCAGTGTAATCTTCCCCCATAGACTTTAAGCTTCTCCAGGATAGGCCCAGTCTTTTTATTCCCCCAAAAGCCTGGAATACTGTCCTGCGTACAGTTGTTCAAAACAAATGCTCAACGAACAGTGAACGGTTGTAGCAGTCATTGGGCCCCTTGCTCCCTCCCCCTCTCACCGCCTGCTGGTGACAACGACCACTGAGTACTAGTCAGCATCCTTACCAGCAAGAGTATTAAAGTAGCCTTTACCATTTGTTAGTCGCCCAGTAAACTTTAAGAAACTAGTAGCTAAAACAAATTAGTCAATTCTCAATTTCTGATAATATGAATGCAGCTTAGATAATGTACTGAGTCCTCAGATAACCAAAATATCTTACATTTTAGCTGTTACTTCAATCTTTTCTGTCATAAAACCATTAGCTATTAAGCAATAAGGTTCCACGTCTTTTCTTTGTCTCTCATATTACTAAAGTATGATAAGAGTACAATATCAAAACATACAGGAAATTTGCAATAGTACATGTACTATGAAAAATGACCCATAGCACCATTTCCTGTAGCATAAAGCATCAAAGGGGATATCGCACACCCGACAGATTGCTAACAGCTTCTTTCCTTTTATTTTAATTTCAAATTATTTGAACTGCCTACTTTTTAGCTAACCCATCTCTCAATCTTCCTTCTGCTTTTGAAAATTATTTTATTGGTATACTTTTTCCCATCTTTCTCTTATTCCAGACAGAATAAAAGATGAAATAAATGAGGCTTAAGCAACACACGGAGACTAGTATCACACTCTACTCAACACAGTAATTACTATTTGGTACTATTAATGCCAAGCCCAGCATACTATAGACCCTCATTACCTAAGGTGTCTAAATAAGAATTTGATTTGGCAGCTGAGATTCCAAATTCCTGCAACACTCTATTTCCATTGTTCTTATGGTACAAAACACTTTGAATGGGTTTAAGTTACTGGAGGGGTAAAAGCCTATGTTTTATTTACCCAGATATTCACACAATAAAAAAAAAAAAAAAAGAGTTAAACAAGATCTTAGTTTAAAAATAATTTCTTCTCTGATTCAAATGGGTGCCATCAGAAGCTATAACATGCACATGTATTTTATGTTAAGACTCTTACCGTGATATATACCCAGAATTTTTGATGTCATTCCAGCTACTGTCATTGGTGTCGCCACTTACAGAATCATATTTACTTTCAGTTTGACACTGAGTTTCAGATTCCTTCCTTTGCTAGTAAAGCAGAAAAAAACAAAAAATCATCACCGGTACAAAGCTCAACGGAAGTTAGCTAACAATCTTAGGTTATAAAATGACATTGAAAAATAAAATAAATCTTAACACTGAGAAAAATAAAATATTATAAAATCACAAAAACAGTGTTTCCATTTATTATATTAAAGAAAAAAGTTTATCTTCCCACTGCCCTCCCTCTAGTGTTTGCGGGGATTTTGTTTTTTATAATGTGGGCGTATTATATATACAGTATAACACATAACTAGGTGTAAAGATTGTGTACATATGTAAGTAGGAGTACAAACTTCCAGGCAAGACCAGAATTCTTTCTTTCCCAATCAATCTTATAGATGCTTTAAAAATGTTTTCAACAACAGGAAAATGAATTTGGCATCTTATCTGCAATGTCTCTTCACCAACATCTCCTAAAAGATGTCCAGAGGATGTTAAGAATTATTACAGTCAGAAGTGGATACTGTAGTCCATTCATTTAGCCAATGATTCTTTCAATGAACCGTTACTGAGTATGGTTATATGCCAGGCACCGCGTAAGAGGCTGGGGAGACAGTGGTAAACAATGTAGACCCTTGGTCCTGGTCCTTAAGAAAGTACAGTTCAGTGGCCAAGAGAGATAAGCAATTAGGAATTACTATTAAACACTTTAGTAAGGGGAGTACAGGGTATTCTCAGACATAGGAGGGCAACCAGACTCAGAATTAAGACTTCCCAGCGGACGTGGCAACTAATTTCAAACCGAATGATGTCCAGGAGTTCACAGTGTGAGGGAGAAGGGAGAGGAAGTGGGGAGCAAGGTTCAGAGGCAAGGTCAGAGGGATAAGCACTCTCAGCTTAGAGGGAGCTTGACATACTGGAGGGACCGAAACAGTTCAGCACACTGGCAGAGCATGGAGGAGAGGAGAGAAGTGATCAGGGCAATGGTGAGAGATGAATAATGAGCAGGCAGGTACAAATCATTCAAAACCTTGTATGTTATAATAAGAACATAAACTTAATGCTAAGAGAAATGGGGAGTCAGCTACTAAAGGTTTTTAAGCCAGGAAACGTAGCCAGAGAGTTAGGGAGTGTGGAGAACGTACTTGAGATAGGTAGAAGACCAGAAGCATGGGGATTTGTTAATAGCTATTTTAATAATTTAGGAGATATTTGATGGTGTTTGTGCTAGGGAAGTGGAAGCTGGGATATAGAAAAGAAGACAAACTGAAGATATTTAGAAGAATTTGCTAGAACTTGGTGACTGATTAGATGAGGGAGAGAAGAATGACTTCTGGCTTTGGTAACTGAGTATGGCAGTACTTCATTAAGAGAGAATAATACCAGGGGAACAGGTTGGGGATGAGAATGGGGGCAGAAATGAGTACAGTCTGAGAGCTATGTAAGATAATTGGAGCTGGGAAAGTAGGTGAGACCATCCAAGGAGAGTTTGTGGAATGAACAGAGAAAAGAAAGAGCCTTGAGGAATACTGCTGTTAACGGTAAGGCTGAGGAAGACAAGGTCCTCAGGCGTACACACCAAGTCAAAGAAGGAAACCAGGAGAGCATAGTGTCAATGCAGCTGGTTAAAAAAGGTTAAAGGGAGGTGGTGTCTGATATGGCCAAATGCTAAAAGGTTCAGTTAGATAAGGACTGAGAAATGTTCATTAAATTTAACAAACAAAAGATATTTGAAAACTTTGACAAAAGCAGCCCCAGTGGAGTGGTAGGGGTGGAACTCAGACTGCAGTGAGTTGAGGAGTGAATGGTGGTGAGAAGTAGAACTGAGAGTATAGGCAACGATTATTTTATGCTAAAACTTAAATACATTTAAAACCACACAAACACACAAGTAAGTTTCTCATATTCCCAACCCTTTGAAATAAATTAGATTCTAAGAAAGTGTCTTACTCTGTGAGGATGAGGATGGAAAAGTTTGCGTACAATAAAAGTTGTGGCTATGATACAAAACAGAATAGTTCCAACTATTTCTTTCCACCAGTGTAAGAGGAGGACAGGATCCTTTTTGCGGATATTCTTGTTGTTATTCAGGTTGTTGAGAAATCTGACTGTGATCTGCGTGCTCCGTTTGGTCCTCTCCCTCTTGTAGTATGGTAGATAATAACCATTATCTTCAAAAACAAACATTAAAAAGTGTTTTTATGATAAGCCAAAATAGGCCCATGTTGGTTAAAAATTAGCCATTTTCCTTTAATTTACAACACTAATTCCTTTTTTTTTGTTTCATCTCTCTTCTTTAATACATTTCAAATGGCTTCATTTACCCTACTTTTTAACTAAACAAATACACTTTCCTTTATTCCGTAGGTATCTTGAATTTTCTTTATATTGAAATATAACACTAGAAAAAGTTTTAAGGGCCACTTCATTTATTATCTCATTAATAATTCAATCCTTTAAATGGAAGAAAGAATTAGACAGTACTCAATCTTCCTTCAGGATATTTTAAGTTTTCCTTTCACTTTGTATCATAAAATACCAAATTTTACCATTGACGTAATCATTCTTAACAAGCCTAAAGGAAAATCCCCATCATGCTCTTTGGTTCATTTCAAAACCAAATCAAACCCACTGCCACTGAGTCGATTCCGACTCATAGCAGCCCTACAGGACAGAGCAGAAATACCCCATAGGGTTTCCAAGGAGCGCCGAGTGGATTTGAACTGCCGACCTTTTGGTTAGCAGCCAAACTCTTAATGGCTCATTTCAGGCCATCAAAAATGAGTTTGTCCCAGAAAGCAGCCTGTGTTTTCTGCCTTCTATTCTGCATTACTTGGGCAGATTACACAACTTCTCTTACCTTGTCTTTTGATCAATATCAGATAAGGACTGCTGTTTCTAGTTCTAAGTCTTCTGCTTTTTTTTTATCAACTTGTCGTTAGGTGCCATAAAGTTAATTTTTGACTCATAACGACCCCATGTGACAAGAGTAGAACTGCCCCGTAGGGTTCTCTAGGCTGTAACCTTTACTGGAGCAGATCACCAGGTCTTTCTCCTGGGAGCCACTGGGTGGGCTCGAACTGCCAACCTTTTAGTTCGCAGCCGAGTGCTTAACCATTGCACCACCAGGGCTCCTCTTATCAACTTAAATTATACAACAACCTCTCAGTTTCCAAATCTAGAGAACTGATGAGAAGTCTGTGTTTTCTTCTAATGCAGATTTGAGGACGTTTCTGTAACTCAGTAACTGTTCAAAAGACTTTCATATCTGAATAGATCCTAACTTTAAAGAACTGCTGCTTATTACACAGAAACGTATCTCGTGCCAAATTTTATGTATTCTTGACTTTTTACCAATTTCCCTTGTCTGAGGGCAAAATTAAAATAACCTCATTTTTCACAGCATTTTCACATAGCTCTGTGGGAAACACCTGTTTTCTTCATTATACAGGCTGATATTACAAAGACTACATTACATGTGCTGATAATTAAACAAGACAGCTAATAACAAGGATCAAAGTTTACTAAGGAGTCCCTGGATGGCACAAATGGTTAAGTGCTTGACTACTAACCAAAAACTTGGCCACTGGAATCTACCCAGAGGCACCTCGGAAAACAGGATCAGTGATCTGCTTCCAAAAGGTCACAGCCTTGAAAACCCTATGGAACAGTTCTACTGTGCACACATGGGGTCACCATGAGTCAGAACACAGTTGGCAGCAACTAATGACAATCATGTTTATTGAATATTTATCATGTGCCAGGCACAATATAATTAAGACTTTATATTCATTTTCTCATTTAAACCTAATAATGACCGAATGAACAGATACTATGATTACTTTCCTCATCTTATAGGTGAAGGAACTGAGACACAGGGAAGTTAGGTGAGCCCAATTTAGGACATGGTGAAACCAGGATTTGAACACTGGCAAGCTGAATTTAGAGCTTACACACTTACCCAACGTTCACAATATAGCCTCCCAGGATATTTTATTCTCTACACCCCAATCAACTGCACTTCATTTGAATTCTGTTAATTAATTTCAAATTAATAGATAAAATTAAATAAATAAATCTCAATATTGTCAGTGGAGGAGTAATCACACTTACCATATGGATACTGTAAGATTGAAAGTGCACCATTACTGTATTCTTCATGAGAAAACTTATCATTACTAAGACATTTGTCAAATTCATCAGATCCCACCAACACAGGAGTTCTGGAAGGAGAGTCTAAAAGAAAAATGGTAAAATCTTAGCTGTTATGACTAATGAAAACACACGTGCCTAACTCATACAGATAATGTTCTATATCCTAGTTTGGTAAGTAGCACCTGGGGTCTTAAAAGCTTGCGAGTGGCCATCTAAGATTCAACTGTTGGTCTCTACGTATCTGGAGCGAAAGAGAAAGAAAGAAACCAAAGACTCAAAGAAGAAACTAGTGTAAAGGACTAATAGTCTACACAAACCACGGCCTCATCCACCTTGAGACCAGAACTAGACGGTGCCTGTCTACCACTACCGATCATTCCAACAAGTGACACAACAGATGGTCCTGGATAGAATGGGTAAAAAAATGTAGAGCAAAACTCAAATTCCTAAAAAAGGCCAGACTTACTGGACTGGTAGAGACTAGAGGAATCCCCAAGACTATTGCCCTGGGATACCCTTTAAACTTGGAACTCAAACCACCATAGGAGGTCACCTATCAGCCAAAAGACAGAGCGGCTCATAAAATAAATTATATCAGTGCAGTTCTACTCTGCACATATGTGCTTGCCGTGTGTCAGAACTGACTTGAAGACAACTAAAAACAGTAACACACATCTATTTAAGAGGTAAAATTGACTGAACTGAGAGATGGATTGGGTGGAGGGCGTGATGCAGAGGGCTGCTTTCTTGGTTTCTGATTAGTAGAATGGAATGGATGCTGGTAGCATTCTCTGAGATGGAGAACCATGGAAGAGGACCCAGTTTTTTAGGGGGAGAGGATCTTAAGGTCAGCTTTAGACATGTCAAGAACTTCTGAGACACCCAAGAGGTAGCGTTGTATAGGCAGGTGGCAGTGTGAATCTGAAGCTTGGAAGCAAAGTCTGATATGAATCTGTAAGTCAGGAGATGGTTTAACTGAATTCATGAGTGAGGACAGGATTGCCTTGGGAGAAAGTAAGGATTGAGAAGAAGTGATCAGAGAGTTCAGAAGAAGACTGGAACAGTATTGATTCATGGAAGCTAGGCAATGAGAGTGTTTCAAAAGGAAGGCACGTGACAAAGACTGGAGAAACCCTGAGAGTATGGCCCTTGGAAACCCTTTCAGCTCAGTAATGAAGTCACTCTTGAGGTTCACCATTCAGCCAAACATTAGAGAGCCCCATAAAACAAAACAAGACTAATGGGGCACAACAGCCCAGGCACAAGGACTAGAAAGCAGGAGGGGACAGGAAAGCTGGCAACAGGGAACCCAAGGTTGAGAAAGGACAGTGCTGACATGTCGTAGGGTTGTTAACCATTGTCATGAAAGAATATGTGTACTGTTTAATGAGAAACTATTTGTTCTAATGATGAATCTGTGAAGCATCTCATAACATGGATGAAACTGGAGGACATTATGCTGAGTGAAATAAGTCAATCAC